TAGTTTATGCTGTGGTGTTAAGCAAATCTAGGACAGTCCTCGAGGACACGATCGACGAACCGGACGGGCCGTTCATCGACATCCAGAACACCGTGCTCAAGATACGCACCCAGCGAGCCATGGCCATTCAGGTGTCTTGTGATAATTTGCCTTACGCTATTTTGTCATTTTAGCGTCCCGAACAATACTTGTTCCTTCACCTTTCCGCCTATGAATTCATCATTCGTAAGCACTTGCTCCGAAGCGAGTAAGTCTTTTTATGATTGTAAGTTTACAAACGAGTTTGTTTTAGTGAAATCTCGGAGGCCAGCATTGCCAATTTCAAGATGGATCCGGATCGGTGACTCGGCTGCCGATTTGAAGAAGAAATAAGCGGAATCGTACTTTTGGAGAATAAAGAAATTTCCAGCTTTGCATGTCTTGTGGTAAATGGAACGTTCTTTTTGGTTTTAAATGTTGGACTTCTCTTGTTACACTTGTTGGTCGTACTTTTCGGGTTTTTTTTAAAACTCAAAATCGATCATCATCGTTCTCGTTCTTCATTGGATTGAGCTTTGAGCTGGAAGACTTCTTGATATTATAGTAATGATTGACGATTGAGTTGGTCGTACGATGTGGAAGCTGAAAAGAGCAAAATTTGCAAGGTTTACAGTCTGCAAAACTTACAGCTTCTGAAATGATCGTGAAGTTTTTCCCATAGTAGTTGAAAGCATTTTGAAAGACGACAGAATCATCATGTGACCATTCATCACGCTGAAAAGGAAAGATGAAAGACTGGAGCTTAGTTGAATTTTAACATAAAATAATTGAATTAGTTTATGTTAAAGTAAAGTAAAGTTACATTTTTGAACAACTAGATAAAAAGTTCAAAAACGGGAATTTCTTTGAAATGCTCTCCGAGAAACCCACAATGAGTTTTCGCTTTGTAAGCTTCTCCCGAGCTATCTCCAAGTTGTGGTCACTTTTTAAGCAGGATGAAAAGAGCCTGAAAAAAACCATTGTACACCAAAACGCGAAAAAATAGGTAGTTACTCGATCAAGCGGCATCATATGCAGGGTCATCGCTTCATCAATGTATTTGTCGAGATCGCAAGCGGTGAGCTCCCCGTTTGCAAGTAGTGGAATCCAGAGAGCCTAAAGGAGAAGAAATTGGATGGTTTTATGGAAATTGAATTAATAAGTACTAATGCCACAAGGATTAGCCAATTAGATACTGGGCTTAAATCCATATCTAAGCTCAAAGCGTACTGTGATCGGCGTGCTAAAACTGATAGCGCAATGACTCAAATGCTATTCAATGTTAGCAGGAAACGCTTGTTGTAAATCCCTTACTTGATCCCGATCTTCACGATCCTCGACAAGAGAATTGGATTTGTTTCCATACGCAGTGAGGACGGCCTAAACGCACTTTAAAATAGTTTGTAAGTGGATCCCTCAACCTGATGTTGCTGTCCGACTTTGATCTTCGATTGGGTACTCTTGTCGAAGACTGGAAGTTCACAAAATTCAGACAATCACATACAAAATCATTAGATTTATAGATTGGCTTCTCTTAACTGTAGCTAATGTTTGAATAGGTTTAAACGCACGATGAATCGTTGCCCGCTGCTTGTTCGGCTTTCCGGGGCTCTCCTCGTCGACTTCGTCTAAATATTGACATAAATAAACAGAACTTTAGATTGCTAGATCTATGCAATAATTTAGTTGCTGTAAATTTCTAGGTTCACCCTCCAAATCCTGCTGATTGTTGCTCTTTTCCTCGTCATCCTTCTCATTCGAGTCGTCTTTCTGGCGACGCCTAAAGTTTTAGACGTTAAACAAGTGTTAATTTCCGTCTAAATTTAAATGTAGCACTTCTTCTAATCTATAGCTTAGATTTATTTTAAATCCTCACTTCAAGCGTTCTTCTCGGGTTTCTCCTTGCTGCTGTAAAGCGGGCTTGCCAACGTCCATGCTGCCGCCAGCTAAAAATGAAAAACAGTTGAAACTTAAGAAATTTTTAAAGCTCAACAAACTTTTACTTGAAGCTAAGCTATGTTAAAATGCAGCTAAAAGCTAAAACTCCGTGAAAAATCAAGAAAACTTTTTAGTTACGAAATTTGCCTTTCCACATTTTGAAAGCATCCAAAAAAGCTAATAGAACACAACATTGTTGGCACATTCTTACCCTATTCTGGTTAATTTTGGAATTTGAAGATCTTGACACGAGTAAAACATTTAACAACTTTATCTAGTGCTCTGCAAACATCCTAAAGACTTCACAAGCACTAGGATAAAGTTGCTGAAAGTGTTTTGCAAAGAAGAATGACTACTTCAGCATTGTCAATTTCTTTCGAAGCTGTTATTTATGCTAGAAATAACAATTCCAAAAAGATCTTGTTATTATCTGAGTTGAGATAATAACAAGATAGCTGGATCTGAGTTCTACTTGAGTTACTACCTAGTTGAGTACGAATACGAATCGTATTCATGAACGTCCCAAACGCGATTTGGCATTCTGGTAGTACACTAGCTACTTTAGACCCAACTTTTAAACAACCTAACCCAAAAAGTTAAAATTCATTGGCTGTAAAAGCGATTTAGACTTTCCAAATCATTTGGGACGTTCAAAAGAATACTGGTTAAGCCAAAATGGCCTCTCTTAACTCCCGCACCAACAAACCTGTGGCTTTTGCTATTTCCTTTGTCACTGGCACATCTTTGCTCGACTTTTTGTTGATGTTTGATTGCTCCGTAGAGGTGTTCGTCTCGTAGCCGCTTTTCGTTCCGCCCATTCTTGCGCTTCGTCTCGTGATACGCGTTGCAGTTACAGATCGATCCTCTTCACGTTGATCCTAAAGAATAAAAATTATTAAAGTAAAAGAAAACGGGCGATTAATAGCTTCAAAGGTTAGAAAAATGAAATGATGAAAGTGGCGAAATATTGGCGAGAAAAGTTTATATATGCGCTTTTCCTTGAAAGATATTCAGCTAATCGGCAGAATGCCGTACTTTTGACATTTAGTGCATTTTAAACTGTAGAAAGTACCAATTTGTGACTTTTCTTGGATTTCTAATGTTTTCAAACATTTCTTGATAAAATTAGCCTAAATTGGTGTAAAATCTCAATCCCAACTAACTTTTGATATATCTATGCTTTTGAAAACATAAAAACCAAAACAAGTTTTGCTCCGTTTATGAACATTTACCGCCGTCCTAAAAGCGTTTTGTAAAGTGTTTTCTAAAAAGTTGAGCAAATTAAAAACTTAAATTATGCTACCTATTTTGCAGAAAAGATAAATTGTTTACCAATTTCATCCGCTTCGACGTGGAGGGGCCGATCTTGGCAAGCTCCTCGTCGAGGATCGACTCGTTGACGGGCACTCAAATTAAGTAGAAATAAAATTGTCTTGAAATCATGGTCACTGTTGTTCATAAAGCCTTGTTTATAGGTCCCTGAGGCCTAGGATGTTTCCGTGTTTTAGAGGCTGTAAGCCAAGTCCAACCGGACCCTAAGATCTGTAAACCAACTGCAATCGGGCCTTACTATTAAGATCTATAAGTCAAGCGCTTCTCGCTTCTCGATATGATCTTTGATCACTTGATCATTGAAAGCAATGCTGTCAATATCCAGTTGTGCTTCTTCCTTGATCGATGTGTGGAAATTTGAGAAGAATCTCTCCAGGGCCTCTTTTGAATTCCATAGCAGACGCAATCGATTCACCGACTTCAAATTCTTCAGAAGTGTGTATTTCTTGTTGAATTTATTCTTCCAGAATGATAAGCAGCAATCCCGGACCTTGTCGTATTGATGATCCATCTCAAACGACAATTGGTCGCACGATCGAACCTTCTTGACGAAAGAAAAGTGGAAAAAGAGACGATCGAAATTGAGCAACATGGCATTTGAATTCGAAAATTTGTTGATCCAAATCGTCTCATTGAATAATCGAATCCGATAGACGTGCTCTCCTAAAACGATCAACGGATCCCTCACGAGCATCCCTTGGAATCCTTGATTCACCTTGGCCAACTCACACACTTCCCTTGGTTCCATTTGTTCCAACGCTTCCAACTTCAAATCGAAACACAACTTCCCCATTGGAAATGACCTCAGATTCTTCATTTCGATTGACGCCATTCTTCTTTGAATGCATTAATCTCAAGAATTTCTTAATTTTCGTTAATCCTGCATGGCATTCTTGGTTTAACAAATAAAATCTAGGCTGGTTTTCAAATTCATCAGTTACTTTCCTTTTTGGGAAGAGCCGTCTACGTTTTTCTACGTCTATTTTCTACGTTTACAAATTCAACATTTGTCTAAAGAAGCCTCAATTTTTTTTCGCAAAATTTGAGTCTTAAAAAAAGCAAATTCGGCCACTGTGGGGGTCTGAGTTGAATCGAGCAGCAGAAAGTTTCCAAAAGGCCACAAACATCCAGCTTTTATTGCTAAACAATAGAATGCGTTCCAGGAGGAATAATAAACCACGCAAGAACTTTACAAAAATCCTCTAAAGCCGCAGATTACGACCCAGGAGATTCAGCTCAAAACCAACTTCTTTAAAACTCGAGAAAATGGTCTAATTTTGTTTTAAGAATTTCATATGCCTTCCAGATCAGCGGAGACTGTTTTCAAAAGTGGGTAAAAGTTTGCGAATTCAAAAGAAATCTTGGAGGAAAGCGTAAAGGGGAAGGAGTGTTCAGCGACTGAGCCGTCTTTCACGTCTTCTGGGCATCACTATGCCTAAATTTCCTTGGGAAAAGTATTCCCCTAAATTTGGCTGTAATTTTGCTAGAAATTCTACATTTTGTAAAACCCCAAGAATAGAGAAAATGTCAGCAAATGCCTCCTTAAAAACCGATAAAACTTCAAAGTTTTAATTTGGACATTTCAAACGAACGAACAGTCAACCTGACCTCCAGATTGCTCAAATATCTTAAAAGTTTAGCTTTTAGTACTCAAGGAAGCTGGCTAAAAACTGTCAAACTTGATTCTCGGGTCCCCACCAAACATTCTAACATTTATGTGGCTAAACATCCGATTTTTCACGTTTTGTCCAGCCAACCCGCAGCCCAGATGCAGCGTCTTTTGCCGATTTGAGAAATTGCTTTAAGATAGGGGTTAATTCGGCTGAAGATGGCCCCATTTATTACCCTTAGCTCCTCTTGTTCCCACGATCCGACAAACTTTGGGCGATTTTTGCGCCTATCATTGCCATTTTGCAGGATGAGCTCCAGGATGACCAGATTTTCATCAAAATTACCTTTAACATGAAGTCAGCACTTTAATTTTTTTTAATGTTTTGTTCGCATATTTGTTTGCTATTTATTTCGACATTTGAATTTTTTGGTTGTTGTCTATTTTATTTTAAAATGCTTATATTTTTTATTTAGATCATGGTCGAGCAAAAGTTGGTACTACGAGCAGCATTACTGTTTAACTTCAAAATTGGAAAGTCTGCTGCCGAATCGCATCGTTCTCTCTGTGCTGCTTTCGGAGATGGCAGTTTGTCTCTCAGGCAGTCTCAGACTTGGTTTCAACGATTCCGAGAGGGAGACGAGACTTTGGAAGATTACGAGCACGGTTCGAGGCCAGAAGTCGTGAACGAAGCCAAGCTGAGGGACGTTATTCAGGCCGATCCATGCCAATCTGCTTGAGATCTTGCGAAAATATTCCATTGTGATCATGTCACCATCCAACGCCATCTTTTTTTAAAATTTACCGTCAAATCGGCAGTTTCTTTTGCACCACCCTAATACTTCTGTTCCTTTGCCGTTGTTATCTAAAATATATCTTGTTGTTATCTTCCATGGAGCAAATTTTATGAACTGGATTTGTATCAGCTCAAATAATTAAATGATAGAAAGCTACTATTAGGTTGATGCAAAAGTCTTTTTCATTTTTTTCGTCTGCCGTTTCAAGCCAACAAATGCACCAATTAAACTACGGTTGATTTCATTAGAAAAACCAATTATTTTTCTGCAAAATAACATTAAAACGGGTTTAAAAATATTTTATGCCTGGATTTTCTTGAGAGTATGAAGTCGGGTAGTCAAAAAGGGCTAACTCGATGATGCGGTTTAGACAACTTAGCTAAAGAAAACCTATCTTCGTGTCAATAGATAAAAGATAGAGAAAAAAAAGTTTGATATTTCGCCAAAATTTCAGAGAAATTCATTCAGCCAATTTTTCCGTAGAGTTTTTTATAGATTTTTATGAAAAAGGCGTTTTTCACTCTCGAATTTGCTTGAAAGTCAACCGAAATTGATTTAAAAGATGGAAATTAAAACAAAAACACTTTTTTATAGAGCAAACTATAGATTAATTGGTGAATTTGTTACTTTTTAACAGAAGTACGAAAAAAATGAAAAAGACTTTTGCAGAGATCCATCGTGAAGTCAATGTTATATGAATCAAGGGAAAAGATGAAACCTCAGGCTTCTTGCTCAGGATGGATCTTCATGATCCTAATCCTCTCATCGACGAATTCAATATAAGAGACGTGCTCTCCAAAAACGATTGACGGATCCCTCACGAGCATCCCTTGGAATCCTTGATTCACCTTGGCCAACTCACACACTTCCCTTGGTTCCATTTGTTCCAACGCTTCCAACTTCAAATCGAAGCACAACTTCCCCATTGGAAATGACCTCAGATTCTTCATTTCGATTGACGCCATTCTTCTTTGAATGCATTAATCTCAAGAATTTCTTAATTTTCGTCAATCCTGCATGGCATTCTTGGTTTATTTCAAACATTCAAATAAAATCTAGGCTGGTTTTCAAATTCATCAGTTACTTCCCTTTTTGGGAAGAGCCGTCTACGTTTTTCTACGTCTATTTTCTACGTTTACAAATTCAACATTTGTCTAAAGAAGCCTCAATTTTTAGAACGAGGAAGGAGAACGAGAACGAGAAGGAGAAGGGAGAACGAGGAGGAGGAGGAGAACGAGAACGATCACAATAATCAGATTCAGCAGAAACAGAAAGAGAATCATCAGAATCAGAACGGGAATCATCAGAAACAGAAAGAGATTCAGCAGAAACAGAAACAGAACGAGGCCGAGGAGAAGGAGAACGAGAACGGGAAGGATCATAATAATTATCCATAAACCTGTGTTTTCTCAGCGTTTCCATCATTGTATCCCCGATGAAAGTCTTGTTTGGTTCGCTGACCTGACGAATTTCAGGAAAGTTCTTGATCAAATTCTTAATTTCCACTGTCATTTCACATCGCACGAAACAAGCGGTTTCTTTATTTTCACTCGGATTTCCGGAATTCAGAATCCACTCAATTGTCGATTTGACATTTCCTAAATAAACCTCAGTCACAAATAACTCAAGTTGAGTCTTCGAAAGTGCCGAATAAACTGTTGGATAAACATCAGGATGACGATAAAGATCCACTGAGATCATTTTGCAATTTTGAAGGCTTCCATTGATCAAAGACAACACAAGTTCTAAATGGAAATCGGAAAACCTCAATGTTGCTAGATCGGTGACTTCAGCTTTTAAATTCGACAAAAAATCGTCGAAATTGTCTCAATAGATACTAACTTCCAACTTGCTTCAAATTGGCGAAGGCCTTCTTGAGTGCCGAAAGTTTCCTATTAGTCGATCCCCATCCAGCTTCTGAAAGGTTCAAAACCGAACATCGTTCAACCTGTGACAGGAGAAGGACTTTATGTGACCAGAAATAAAATGGAAGAGGCCTTGATTCAGCGAATTTCATGATAAAGACTAGATCTTGGTAGCGTTTGCGCTCGTTCTCCAGAATTCCTCGATCATCCATCTCGACGCTAATCAAAACAATCAACAATCATTTTCAGCCTTTCAAAAACTACGTTCCTACTTGCATTTAATTTGCGTCGCTTTTTCGTCTCATTCTCTCCCCCCAAATTTCTCTTTTAGTTTTTCTGAAGAACTTGGGTTTGTGGCTTCTCGTCCTTTTGGGCTTAAAGTTTTGCCTTCGTTCTTTCGGGATTTGATGTTCCTCTTCATTGTTTTTGTAATGAACATCGTTGCCTTTTTATTTCTCTACTAATAAGCCGTAGAATTTTAAATTCAAGCTACTTAAAGCTACCTTTAAGGTTCTAAATTCTGTTCTAAATTCTAAATAACTGGTTGAACACTTTAGAACACTTTTTGGTGCTACTCGGCTATTCTGAAACAAAATCCTCGATGATAAGGTTAAAGCGGGTCGCACTTTGAACTATATATAGCGAATGTGTAGTTTTTCTTAATTATGAGCCAGACATTTTCTTGACTTTTTTGATAGCTTACTTGTCTTTTCCTTCTCCGTGCCATTCTTATCGCACTTCCGCTACAAACAGAACAACTTGGGACAGACACTTGGAAACCCTGAAGGATATTTGCAAATTTAAAACTTCCGCAAAAGCTTTACTAAACTACAAACAAGTTTTTCAGAATGCTATATGAAGTAGAATTTATAAATTTCTCTGATACAAACCAAAAACTTGAGAACATCGTCAGCGGGTGAGCGTTTCGCGGGACGGAAACCGGGAAAACGAGCCGCACAATTTGTAGAGCCTCCCTAGAAAAATTTGTAGAAATAAATACAAACAAATTATAAATATTTAATGAAATCGATTGTTAGCTTTTCGTATATTTAAATGCTATTGCTCTTGGAACAAACTTGTATTTCGAAGGCTCGATATGGTTCCCCAGAAAGAGAACATTGTTGACATGAGCCAAAAAGTGATTGGCGTTTTAATCTAAATAAAAATAAATAAAGTAAAGTATTAAAGCTTAGAATTTAGATATTTTATTAACTTTTTGATCATTTTACCTTCTAATTGCCAAAACCATTCTCCTTCGACAAGGACAAGATGGACAGGCACGTTGACATGGGGGAATCACTGGCTAAATCGATTTTTTTTCAAATACAAATACTAGATATTTAAGTACCAACTATATATATAATTAAGCACCAACTACAAATATAATTAATTAGAAAAAAACACTTTTCGATTATTAAACTGTCCAAGAAGTCTTTTCGTTCCTTTTCGTTTTTGTTTCGTTAAAAAATAACAAATTTATCAATTAAGCTATAGATAAAAAGTTATTGTTTAATTATTGACTATCGTTTTATATTATTTGTGTCAATCGGAACTATCGGAACTATCGGAACTATCGGAACTAATCGGAACTATTAACTACGAAAATCAAACCTGTGAACAACATGGAGGTGGTGGAGGACAACAAGAGATTGGAGGAGGAGGTTGACAACACAATTGAGGTTGTGGGATACAGCATGCACGAGGAAATGAAAGGGAAAGTTGAGCTGAAGATATCACTTGCATCATTTCATATCATAAGCCTTCTTGCTTCCCGCTAAACGTAGTGGATAGTGTACCCGCTCTCGGCGCTTTTTGATCCTGTTTCGAATCCCATCACCGTCAAATCTATCCACTACATCACGATGCGTTTAACAGAAAGCAAGAAGGCCTATATTAGCTCTGAAAATGCGACCTAAACTTCTTTGTCAGATAACTCGCGATACAGGGCTCCGTTCGTGAAATTAAAATCAGATTTGGAATCAGCGTTGAAAACTCTATCAGATAAGCTAAGGTTGGTTCAAAAACATTGGCTTAAGTTGATGGCATTCCCTAGTGAGTTGGAATGTCAAGGGTTCGATCACGCCGGCTAGGTTATTTGTTCTTTTTTCCTCTTGCATTTACGGCTTAGGGGTTGTGCTTGTGCATTGTTTGTACCACATTGTGAATAAATGTATTATTATGTTATTTAATACCCCAGCTCGTCCACAGCATGAGCAACACTTGCGACTGCCCTTCACTGGTCCGGGACCCGGCAAGAAAACCTGAATAAAGTGGGGAACTATATGATGGACATTAGATACGCAATGTATCATTTATAACAATATTTTCTCCAAACCTTTGTCAATAAGGGCTTCGGTGAGGCTGGTTGAAGGATCTGTGAGGGTTCGGGGAAATCGGGCTCATCCGGGCGATCGGCTTCTGCAAAAAGGGTACTTTCTCAGTTGACATTAACTAGGCGACGCGATGGTTGATGACTGCAGTCGTGGTCGAACCCGGCAACCTCCCGGTTCGCTCCGGATCGAGGGACAGACGCCCTGGCAATCCGCCACGAGAAGACATTGTCTAGTTGCTTTTCTGTGGCCTTTTTTCTCAAAAGGCTTTCTTTTTGAGACCTTTTTGAGAATCCTAGGAAACGCAACTATTATTATAGATTATATTCTAGATATTATAGATTAACTATGATTATAGATTATATAGATAGTATAGATTAACTATTATTATAGGTTATCCTATGAATACAGTAAGATTTTTAAACTAATAACCCTTGAAAACTATATTGTATATCTACCCAAATTTTGCCCAGAAATGCCGCGATGATGTGAGCCGATTGGAGGCAAATCTCGTTGTAGAGATTGATCTAAAGCAAATAGAGCTGATAATATGAGTAAATTCTATTTAAAAATAACTATATCGTATACCCTGAGATCCCTAGACTTTATTTGTGAGCAAACCTTGCTTCCTTGCACGTCTTTCTTCACGAAAACGTCTGGTTTAACTAAAAATGAAAAGGTTTCTCTTAATACTTTTAGCTTAGTGTTTTTAAAAGACAACACAACTATAGTAGCCTGAATTTTGAAGTAATAAAAGCGATTTGCATTCAAGAATTCAAAGTGGCAAACTCATTCATTCACACCGCATTCAGACAGTCTATTCATCGTTCTGTAAACAGTGATTTGTGAACCTACAAAGAGATTCAATCGATCTCTCTTTTGGTGGCCCAATCGTTTCATTTGGTTGATCGTCATTCCCTTCTTTTTCTTCCAATAACAATGAAAGCTCTTCGAGTGGAAAAGAGATTGATGGCACTGCAAAAAGGAAAACATTGCAAAACATACAGATCACTCTAGTACATTCAAACAAATGCTTATATGAAGTGGGTGAATAAGTCTTTTCGCTTCTTTTCATATTTTCGTTAAAAAAAATCAAATTCTTCAGACTAGTTCTTGAGTCTTTAAAAATCTGTTTCTGTCTGCTAAAAACCAGCTTAGCCTTTCAAAATCGTTTTCAAATTGTCAATTCAAAATGACACCTTGTGGCTTGGGAAACTCCTCATAATCGGGATCCAAACTGTGCTCACTGACGAGATTCTCATCAACGATTTCTGGAAGTGATGAATGGGGTGTGGGAGTTGAAAGTGAAATGATTGGAGGAGCGATTCGATCAATCAATTCATTCATTTCATTCGTTTCAACTCTTTCCATTTCATTCGGTGATTCAGTGATTCCATTGAGTGGTGGAAGGGGTGGAGAATGGGTGGAGAACCATGTGAAATTGGGTAAAAGATCGGTGAGTGCTCGTGGATGGGTTGGGCTTGTTGGTGACACCAAACTGATAGACTTTTGAATCAAGCTTTTGAAGCTAACCTTTAAAGGAGACTTTTGAAGCAAGCTTTTGAAGCTAACCTTTAAAGGAGACTTTTGAAGCAAGCTTTTGAATGAAAACGAAAAACACAAAACGAATTGAAACCGTAGTGTGCAAGTGTTTAAGGGATTCGGATCTTAATCAAGTATTTGCTCAGCTTTAAATTACGGTTGAGTGAATTTAAATTACGATCCAAATTATGATCCAAATTATGATCAAATTACGATCAATGGCTATAGCTCAAGTTCAATTCTTGAATCAAGGATTAGCACTTAAATTTGATTAGTTTCTGAGCCAAAACCTGATTTCCGCGTGTTCATAAGTGCAATAGGGACTTCAATCGGATCTTTTCCGAATTCTTCTTTCATTTTCATGCTTTTCCACACATCAACACGATTCAAACGATCCGTTACGTGATTAGGCACTGCAATTCAATAAAGATTTGCACGGAATTCAAATTTGCACAGAATTATAGTGCACGAGTGTTGTTGTTGTTGTTGTTGTTGTGATATTATGATTGAATTTTTCTTTCACCAATCTCCTCTTTCCACCAAGTGTTGTACCCGTTCATCTGACAGAATTGTGCTTTGAATCGTTGAAGATTCAGGAAATTGCAATTGGACAGTTGTGCTTTCTAAAGAATTCCCTGATTATTGAGAAAGAATTGGTGGTGGGGAAATTTAAGAGAGAGAAAAGTATACTAGACATTCCAAACCGAACCTAATTCCACCTTCGTTTTCTCTTCTTAGCCGATTACTCTGAAATTTTATCTACAAGCTGTCGATTTCTATCTGTAGACAAAATTTCAAAGCAATCGGTCAAGAAGCCCGCGAAAACACAAAGGTGGAATTAGATTCGGAATTTTCCCATGTCTACTAGCTACTTCTTAGTCCTTATCATGCTTGGATGGGTCTTGGATTTCTGTTTATTAGTTAGTTCTATGAAAATATTTTCTCTCTCCAAATTTCCCTGAAAAATCCGGCACACACCTGTGTGATCGTGCCAGATTTGTCGAAAATCGATGTGTGGCACAAAATGATGTTGTTGCTGTTGTTGCTGTTGTTGTTGTTGTTGTTGTTTTTCATCATCATTTGTCAATGGATGATGGATAGGGAATTCCGTGAGTAAACCAGAAAATTCAGAAGTTTTGACAGTCGACGAAAGTGGTGGATTGATAGTGGACGGGGATCGGGTGGTTGAAGGGGGACTTGTTGTGGAGGGAAGGGATGAGGTGGGTGACAGAGTTGTGATTGTAGAAGTGGTAGACAGCGAGGCTTTTGTTGTTGTGTGAATAGTTGTGTTAGGATTGAGTGTGATCCCCCATTCCTTTCATTTACTTCTTCTTGGCTCATCTTTCCTAAACAAATTTTGGTATCGTTGTGGGCCGGTGCTGCAGGCTCTCTGCACTTAGGCAGATCCCGTAGGGGCCAGTCCTGCAAGCTCTTTAGGGGTTATATCTATCTAGGAGAAAAGTTTATGAGAATTCGTCCAGTAGCTCCTGAGAAAATTGATGTTCAGGGGTTGTGTTGATGTACAAAAACTTTACTATCCATTCTTTTCGCATCCCACTTGCAATTTCCTTTTTCATAGGGAAAAAAAGCGGAAAATTGGCGAAGCGTCGGAAAAGCACGAGAAGTTAGAGAAAAGCTTGTCGATGACGAGAGGCGATTAGACCCATTGATTGAGCAGTCTGGTTGCTTTCTAAAAACCCCTACCAAAATAAGGTTTTAAAACCAAGAATAAAGTTAATATGCAAAACTAGATAACCTCGATGAGTTGGCTGCAATGACACACCAAAAAATTTTGACGTCAAATAGGATCCGAGAAACCTTTTTGTTAACGGGTGTTGTTTGTTTTAAATGCAACCTTTTAATAAATGTTAGAATTGTAGCTGTTTCTAAATCAAATTGAAAACTATTTATTAGAATAACAAAAATTTAGAGAATTGTTCAGCAAATTTGTTATTTTATTCAACTATTACACATCAAAATGTAGAAATTTATCATGGATGACATAGACGAGAACGGTATTAATGAGATTTTGATAGGGTCTATCATACAGAGTGACACCATAGAAACGGTTATCGGACTTTAGTTCGTTACCAGGGCTACTATAGGCGCCTATATTTACCCAGGGTTTGGCTCCGCACCTTAGAGGCGCGTGACTCCTAGGCTATCGCCTGATTCTCCTAAGGCTGAGGTGAGTTTTGCAAATTATAGCAAAAATGTTCAAAATAGGGAACTAGAGTCCGGAGAACTAGAGTCTGTGAAACTAGATTCCGGGGAACTAGAGTCTGGGAATCTCTATAGCAATCCCTTGAGAGCAGTCGAACACAGCCAAAGCAAAATCAAGGTACTTTGCTTTGGCCTTCGGGCAGCTCACTTTTTTTTGCAAAACCACTTTTTTGGTCAACTCCACAACATCCCTTGGTTCCATTTGTTTCAACATTACCAACTTCAAATCGAAGCACAATTGCTCCATTGGAAACGACGTCAAATTCTTCATTTTGAATGGCATGACTGGCAAATCCTCCATTTTGAACGATATGACTAGCTTTTACCTGTAAATAAAAGATTAGACGTTGTTTTGAAATAAAAAGGTGTCCTAATTTCATTATTTCCTCAACGGAAATGTTAAGCAAATAGTGATTTGGCTTGGGATAGCCAAGCCGTGAAGACCCACAAAAGTTCAGGCTTAAAAAAGTCAATTAATCGAGAAATCAACAACTGTTTCAAACAGTAACTTCAACATCGAACAATATTCTATAAATTTATTCCAAGTAGCAACGATAAGAGAAAAGTTAGCAATAGACAACAAAATGCAACAACATTCTAATCGGTCAAGATTTACCTCTGAGATCTGAACAATCAAAAAATATAACATTAAGCATCCACATCGATCCCTTCACCCACACGGCACGTAGATGGCCAAAAAGTACGGGCCGAAAGTATCTTTTTACGCAACTGTAGTCTCATTTATCAAGTAGATGGAATCTCTCGCCGATATTCGGTCGAATGACGGGGTCGAGATTCTTCTTGAGAATTCCCTATTTGAAAATCCGTTGGAAAAGCAATGCACCATTGCAGTCAAGGGTGATCAAATTGACATGAGTCTTCACACGATACAATCTTCACAAACAACCAACACTTGAACGAACTGGACAAACTCCGGGCGAGTAGCCGATATCTGTAGTTAAAATAGTAGTTAAAATCTGCGATTGTGGCGGGAGTGGTGACGGTTGCATTGGAGGGGGCTGAAATTTAAGCTACAACTCAACCCCAATTATACAATACCCCGCGATAAATTGCGCCGAATCCAATTGGATAGCCACCAAATTCAAACTGCCGCCTTGGTGATGGCATTGCGAGAAGTCTTGACTTGAATTGCTCGAACAAGACAGGAATCGATACTCAGCGAAGCCAACTAAAAAATTAATTATAAATTGAAATCCAGTGAAATAAGTTCAAAAACCCCTCACCGATAAGCTATTCGAGTTGTTCTTGTTGACCGACAAAACATCCAAATTTGGTGCTTTCAAGCGGCTGTTCGCGGTATTTTTGTCGAAGCTTTGCATGTTGTTGTGATTGGTGCTGATGCCGTTTGTGTTCAAATAAAGCTCAAACATCTGCTAGTGCTGCCCAGAGTGCGTTTTATCCAAATAGAATGCCTTACTACAGCATTAAAAGCCATCAATTACCAAGATTCGAGCTCTGACTCGAGTCAACTTTTAATCAGCCCATTCAAAAACTGACGATTCATCTCGCGTTGCATTGCCTCATCGCAGGGCCGCTGAAATTCGTCGAGTGTGTTCATGCCATCAACGCCGGCGACCTACTGTACTAAATTTAAAGGTTTAATGCCCTCTCTTAAAGTCTCTTAAATAAATGTATGGCTCATGGATAACTGGCTAATAGAGAAGAACTGAATATCTTAAACTAAACTAGGTGTTCACCCGAAGTATTTTCGCTCTGGATTTTCCGGACTCGGCAACCGCGTTAAGCTGAATAATTTAGAACCACTTGGTTTAAATTTGACTATTCGAGCGTACAAAACTTTGATTGAATTTTTGATAGAATTCTTGAATAGAAAAATAAAAACCCCAATATATTTTTAAAACACGGATTTCTAA